TATACATTTAAACATTTATATATATGATATATTCTATGAAAACAATTAAACTGTTGTATGCAATTTTGCTTCTCAAGTAGATGTATCTTGTTTTAAGGGTGTTCAAGACAAAAATAATGAGTAAGATTTTTTTTTTTTTTCACTGCACTGTAGAGAAATATGTAGCTCATCACAGAGCCCTGAGATTAAAAAGGTAAATGTTGCAGAATGGCCATAAATTGGTCATCTTAACAGCAATACTATTTTAGGGCAAAAAGCTTTTGTTACACTTTGAAATGTTTCAAAAACAGTATAGTAGTGCATTGCCGTTGCATTGTGGGATTTTTTAAGAATGATTCAAATGTATGTAGGTAGGCTGATTTAGGTAGGCTACAGAATTTTAGTTGTCTATTGGGCAACAAAAATAAACAGTTTATGCCAATATATGCTAATTAAGGCAATCATACCACATATTTAAATTAAACAATATCTCAAGGATTTTTTTTTCTCCATAAAACAGTATTTTAGAAACTAAAGCATAAACTAAACACTGGATGAATGCATTGGAGACAGAGCTAAGTATTACACACAAGTTACTATGGTAAATAAGAGGCCTGTGAGCTGATAGCAATTAATTTTTTGAAAACATCTATCTTTTTTTTTTGCATTTTGAATTGCTGTGGGAGGGAAGATAATGATGTGCGTGCAAGAAAGAAATGACTTGTGGTACGCCCACAAAATATAAATATCTCAAAATAAAATAAAATTTAAAATGTCCTTTAATATGTCAGTTATTTATTAACTAATTTTTCAGGAAATATAGGATAGACCCTCTATGTGTGTGTTTTCTCCATTGCTTTAATTCCTCTAAAGTGCACTAACATATGCTGATTGTGAATTAATGCCTCAAAGCAGATTTATATCAGCGGGGTAAATGCAGCTTTCTCAGCAGCCCCTGAATTATCAGGATGTGATAGATGGAGGTCTGAAAAGAAGATGGTTGTGTAGACTGGAGAGAGGGGAAGAAACACAGGGGGCGGAATACATCTTTATAAATGCAACTCGATGGAAAAGAGTGACAGATATTAGACATAATATTTGGATCTCAACCTGCAAAAAAAA